CGAACCGGATGAGAGCGCAGTCGCCGAAGTTCCCAAGTCGAAGAAGTCCAAGAAAAACAAGTGATGTTTTGACTCGAGCTGATCATTTTTTGATCTTTGGGATGGATTGCCGATATATAGAGCAATCATTTTTTGTTGGAACTCCCAACAAATTTGTGTCACCTGAGGGAACCTGCAGGTCACCTGCGACCGGCATGAAACAGGATAGCACCTGCGGGACTTGTTGAATTCTGGACTCATCCATGTCCGTGTTTGGTCGCCCATCCAAGACCCATCCACCTATATATGTTTTGTGCACAGTACATTCTGTGAATTAATGTGAATTTGTTTTTGGCATTTCATCTGCGGGCTGACTGGATGCGATGTCTACAGAAACAATGCTTCGCATTTGGGATTTGAAACCAACATCGATCGAGCGGAAAAATGGTTTCAATCTTGCTGGATGCATAGTGCCGCAGTGCCAACACCCTGCTATATCTTTCTTGCCAGGCCCCAACACCGTGTATGTATATATATAGACGAAATAGTATAGGTCCAACAACCGCCCGTCTGTTCTGGCCAGGTGCTGGCAATGCCGTGAAAGCATTCAGCAAAGACATCGGCCAAGGTGTTCTGGCCTCAAAGGCATCGGGAGTGCAGTGCATGGATCACCCAAGACAATGACTTCGATTCGGCCTACAAGCTCGCCATTTGGGGTCAATGGATGGAGCTTGCAGCCAATCAGAACGATATCATTTTCCCAGGTATATATATATATATGTTGAACCAAATCAATTTCATGGGCATGTGTTGAATAATACGTGCCCCGTATATATACTAATCAATGGATTACATTTCGTTTTGAGGGCTACCCCATGTATATGAATATAAGCAATGCATTTCTATTCGTATATATACTATACTATATAATAGAGCTCTGGCATTTACCGTTGCCACACATGGCCAAGCCATGGATGTTGATGAAACTCCAGATGAAGAGCTGCTGGATTTGCTTTGTTGTCACCGCAGTGACCCTTGGCCAAAAATACAAAGTTGATATGTATATGGAATACTATCTAGATTGTAGGAACCTACAAAACATATACCCAATTAATTGAATAATGATCGATGGAATGGAAACATGTTGTTACCAATTGTCATTGCGATCAAGTATAAACATGTCTTAAGGGAGTGTACGGTCATGTTTCCCCCATGATCCCACCCACGGGTCGATTATATGTCTCCATTGATGGCAGGGTATATATATAACAAATTATTTATAAGATGTGAAGGTCATCTCCTGTCATCCGTTTCCCAGTCAGCCATCAAGGAATCGGAAGGACCTTTCCCGTGGCCAGTGCCGCTAGGGCGGGGACGGTCTGGGACAGCCACTGGTGACGGCCTGGCGGCCGGAAATGGGCAAGGTTTGGGAGGCCTGTCGTCATCACTCTGTCCTCCCGTCGCCCCTTCAGTCCCGGAATGGTTGGCACATCTACCACTTGAACTTCAAGGGAATAAGCGCCTTCTCAACATTGCCGATGAATCTGCCGCCATGCCATGCATAGCTTTTGATCTACCACGGCCCAATCTTTGTGCCGGACGTGTGTTGGAACACTGTGTCAAAACAGTTGAGCGGATATACAACAAATGGGATCCAGTTATATTCAAAATTGGATGGACACATGACCCATGTTGGAGATGGAAAAATGACCTTTATGGTTACTGCCGTGCAAAAGAGAAATGGTCGAACATGACTATCTTGCACATTTCACATGAACCATATTCTACATCGATGCTGGAAGCAGCACTCATCTTATATTTCAAATGCATCTAGCCTGCATTCGATGTTGATGTTGCAATGACCACATCTTGAATCAGCAATGGCAAAAACTTTGGATGTGATTTTGAATATATACATATATATATATACTTCTTGGTATATATCCTATATGGGTGAATATATATTTGGGGCTAGCCAGGGGCCAAAGTTTTTGACATTGCTGCACCATGCAAAGATTTAGCGGAAAACGCTTGCCGCGGTCGTTGGCGGAAACCCTGCGTTTGCCTCTCCCGTCCCAGGTAAGCGTGGATGCAAAAACATGCGATTGGGGGGGGACACCGTGAACACAGAGGAAGTGGACGGTGTCTCTATGTGTTATTTGTTGCACAGGTCATTCAAATTCAAGCCTCCGTGACCGTTGTGAAGGGTATCCCTTCACTTTTGTATAATATATATCCAGGAGATTCCGAAACCCCAAAAAACAGGGTCTCTATGGAAAGCAGCGGCAAGAGCCAGCTAAGCTTTCGGCATCCGTAAGCAAAAATCGTTCCGGAGTAAAATTGCAGCATTGCAGCGCATTGCAGCAGTGACTGGGATATCGCTGTCATAGCATGACACCATGAATTGGCTGCATGGGACTTTGTTCTCGATCAGACTGGGTTTCCAACGTATACCACCAACACCTCGACCCCTATATATTTGTACTTTTTCCAATGATTCCAATTTTTCCCGCCGTTCCAAGGTCTCAAGCTGCAGAGCTGCAATCAGAGCAGCGAAAGGCATTGTGAGCGATCTTGGAGAGGATGTCGCGGCAAAAAGCCGTGGGCTCACAGAGTTGAGCCGTTGTCATGAAACTACTAGCGAAAGGGATGTTGAAAGATTAACAAGAAAATTCAATCTTTCGCTCCGCATTCCAATCACTGAACTGCAGAAATCCCCTGGAGTGCGGTACACAGGGACATTCCATGTGATCGCTTTGCGGGATTGGATTCAATATATAGTCAGCCATGGCTTATGGCATGTGCTTCTTGGCCTCCACAACGCAGATGGCAAAAGAGAAAGGGCAATTCTTCGTGAGTTTTGGAGACTTTATCGGATAGCCCATCCGCAGCATCAACTGTTTGACGCCATTCAGAAGTATGCCATCGATGAGGGTCGACTCCTTCCAGTTTTGATGCATGGAGACGAGGGGCGAGGGAGAAAGAAATCTCCATTTCTCGTCACATCCTTCCATTCAGTTTTAGGCTTTGGAACCAACTTGGCCAACAGCGAAAGGAAAAGAAGAAAGTATTTGAGCATGAAACTTAACTACTGCGGCTCAACGAACACAAGCAGAATGATTTCTGGGTGCCTGCCCAAAATGAGCAAAGATGAAGCCGCGCTTCAGGATCTTCTGACTTATACGACGGGCGATTGCTGGCGCATGCTTGAGCATGGAGTTTTGGATGCTGATGGTCAGCGATACCATGCTGCCTGCATCAATGCAGTGGGTGACTGGATGTGGCTTGCAAAAGCTGGTAACCTGGAAAGGTCATTTTCAAACGTGCCCAAGAAACCTTTGGTCGCTGGCTCGCGGCCAAAGGGCATTTGCCACCTTTGCTTGGCAGGCCGCCCTGGGTTTGACTTTGAGAATTTGAGCTCTGATCCCGCATGGCTGGGTACTTTATTCACACCCGGAGACGAGCCATGGAAGTCTAAACCAATTTTATTGAGTTTGCCTCACGACCCAGCCCGGGCTGCAGGATTCTTTGCCTACGATGTCTGGCACGCTTTTCACCTCGGCTTAGGAAAGTCGTTTGTGGCAGCAGTGCTGGCTTGTATTTCGGATCGCTTTGGAGCGAGCACAGTGGATGCTAGGTTTTTAGAGTTGACAGACTTATATTTACAATTCTGTGACGAGTCTCGCGAGCCAGCATATATCACTGCAATTACCAAGGAATCTTGCGGATGGCCTGATCGGAAGACCTTCCCTAATGGCCAATGGCATAAAGGCCATGGCACGACCACGTTACTTCGTTTCTTGGAAAGCTGGTTCTCCAAAAACAATGTTGCGGATGATCTCATTTTATCCATGTGTGCCGAAGCAGTTGTGGTTCTCAACCGCTGTTTTCACGAAATGTACGCCAGTGACCTGTGGCTTGAAGTTTCTGCTTGCCATCGCATCGGTGGCATTGGAATGCAATTTCTGTGTCTGTATCAACGGCTGGCGTTGGAAGCTTTTTCTCAGTCCAAAGCCCTTTTCGCTTACCTTCCCAAGTGCCACATCGTGCACCATATAATGATGGGTCTTGCCAAGGCTCATGTTGCCAGCCTGAACCCTTTGACTTTCGGAGTACAGATCGATGAGGATTTCATCGGGAAGAAGAGCAGAGTAGCGCGCCGCGTGGCGCCTACTCAGGTAATCAAAAGAGTTCTTCAACGATCACTGCAGATCGCGTATGCTGATTGGCAGGAAGCGGGTTACATCAAGTAAGCAATGCAAAATGATGCGTGACTGGTGGTGTGGTTGGAGGATGGTAATGTATCGATGGAAACATGTGAGATTGTCAATTTTTTGGGATTTGTCAAAATCCTGTAATTCCACAAAACCTAGGTTTTCAATGGAAAACACGGCTTTCCATAGAGACCCTGTCTTTTTTGGGGTTTCGGATTCTCTTGGTATATGGTAACATTTACCATCAATATACCCCCAATGTTAGTATATATACCATACATGGATCCTATGGGTTTTGTAACATTTCTAGTGCTTCCAAGAAACCATCCCGTGTTTCACAAGTTGTTGTTCCACCCAGGAGCAGCCGGCAAAGTACAGCCTCTGCGCTGAGACCAGCTCAGTGCGGAACTCAACTTTTGGAGCCCGACCCGACCAAAATCCCCGGAGGGTTGGGAAAAGCTTGGAGTCTTCGAGAGTTTTAGGATATAGTAACCCCCAAGAAGATGGAACTGTATGGAAATGTAATATATATATATATATCTCTTTTAGTAGGACTTTACTGTTGTATCCTTTTGGGGTTCTATGTGTTTTGGCATGTTCTTTCTGTTGATATATTGATATGTGTTTCGATATTTTATGGGATGGATCAAACATATTGAAACCTATGGTGACCATGACATTTGGGAGGGATGAACATCCAGCTATAGCAGCTAGGGTCAACAGGGTACCATGGTTATGCATTGTAATTGTGTTTTAAACATGTTTGTTAATTGTTGTGATTTCATAGTGCCCAAGGCCCTGGATGGCATGGGTTTGTACTTCGAGGTGGGGCACGGCTGTGAATTCTGGACCCCCTGCCATCGGTTCCGTGGTGTTGACCGGTTTCAGATCATCCCGTTTAGATGTTGGGTCTCTTTGGGTTGAAAGGTTGTTGGAAAAGACATTGAGGATTCAGATTTCCCAAAACCGGCTGCTCCATGTGGATCCATGGTTTGAGGAGTTGCCCCTACTGACCCGCTGCGCCTTTGACGAGGCATCGATTGGTGTGGGTGAAGTGTATATAGCGCCCCCGAAAAAAAGTGTAGACAAGTGGTTTCCAGGATGGTGTAAATATGTAGAAATAATGTGTTCCCCCATTTTCTTCAAGGTTTCTATAGTGCGATTTCTTTTTTGTGGGTCTATACTTGTCACTGGAATGCTGAAGATTGTGGTAACATGTGGGAACACAGGTGGTCTCAGCCGCCTCCACGGGCGGCGGGGTGCCCCCGGGATGCTACGGATCCTTCGGTGCTTGGATGGGAGGCTTGGCTATAAGAATAGCTCACATAGCCTCTGGTTATGACTAACATAGCTATGGAAAATCACCATTTTTAATGGGAAAATCCACTATTAATGGCCATTTTCAATAGCTACGTTAAATTACCAGAGGGTATCAGCTTTGCGAGTATCATACTGCGTTGAGACAACATTGTTGGGTCATACATTCCGTTGAACTGGCTGAAGTTAATATACATGTTTCAACATGTTTCAACTTTCAAGTATTGTCTGTTTATTTCAGCTTCACCTTGGATGATTAGGTCATGTTTTCAAATGGGTTGGAACTACCGGTACCAACATTTTTTTTGGTCATTGTTTGACTGCTTCGTTTCCGAATCCGAAGCTTCTCAGGAAAACTGGCTGATGAAAAACACGAGAAGCAGCTGATTTCCAAGCTACTCCCCCTACTTGGAGGACCCACAGCCGCTGGGACCACATTGCGGAGAAAAGGTGTGACGTGTTTCTTCAGTAGCTGCCCATCGCTCATGTCATTGGATGCCAAGCACAGCAGCGGGTGCAGATTCCTACTCCCAATATGATCCATGCAAGATTAGCAGGCAGGAAGGCACCCCAAGAACTACCACCATATTTTTTGGAATGTTTGGGGTCAGTGATCATCCATGATCATCCCATTGAGCGGGTGGTCAGTGACAGTGACCATATTTTCACGTCGATACACTATCACCAGGGTTATCACCCAGTCCCATTGATTCATTGGATGGTCATCCAAGTATCTGCAACTGTGGCTGCTCCGTAGCTGCGTTTCTAGTACATGTCCATTCTGACTTAGGAATTGGAATGCTGATTCCCAACTAACGATGATTGATGTTGATGGTAGTAGAATATCCTTCACACACCCATTGGGATCGCTATTCCACCCCACTAAAATTATGGGCTGAAACCACCCAGATTGAATTCCTGTATCATCTTTCCCTTAATTCCTTAATCAGGAGGCTCCATGGTGTCGAAGCTCGACGCCGGCGGAGATGCTGGGACAGCATGTGATGCTAAGACGCCAACGAGTGCATGGGGAGAACAAAAAAGATGGGGCGTTCACCGCGTTTGACTCGCAAGAGTGGGGAGATTAAGTCAACAAAAACACAAACAGTTGGGAGAAAAAAACATGAAAAAACGATATCAGTTTATACCAATATGAATAAGTGGCGTGCCTGATTCCTGGGCATATCCCATTCTTGAATGGGCTAAAACCATGGTTCCTAGGCTGAAGTCCTAGACGTGGGCTGTGGCGAAGGAACAGCGGCGTGCTTGCGGCTCGGCTGGGGGATGACCGTAACTGGTACCGTACGTATTGCCTGGGACCTGGGACCAAAAGGAGGATGAACTATGCTATATACCCTCTGGTAAACTAACATAACTATGGAAAATCACCATTTTTAATGGGAACATCCACTATAAATGGCCATTTTCAATAGCTATGTTAAATTACCAGAGGGTAGTATTTATATGTATTTGTATGTATTTGTATGTATCTGTGAAATTACACACAATATGACATTATGATACTGTGATTTATTTTTTGCGTATATCTTTGCTATATAATTAATCCAAATATAGACGGTGCAGGCGCAGGTAGTATGAATATGCAACACGCTGATGTTTGGTCACCCACACGTGTTTAGAGGAACGGATCGCAATGAGGGGGCCGTGTCGATGGATGGCCAACTGCATTGCAGCTTGATGTCACCGATGACCTCAAAATATCCAAAGAGTGTCGTTATATAAATTATTCTGGAAGTACTAAGTTGGATTTATTGCCATTCCACTTGGTATCCACTTGGTGGTAACCATAGTCCTAGCAGGTCCAGTGAAGTTACGCCCAGGATTGCCGAACGCTTCCCGAAGGTTCAGGTGCATGGGACCTTCAGCAGCATACGGTGAGTAGGAAGTGACATGAAGTGACAATGGAAAAAAACAACTTCCCAGGTGAAAAATGGTGGAAAGATCATGGTCCTTAATCACATTTGATCACTTTCTGGGAAGTGCCCACCATAAGTGGAAAGATGTCTCCTTCTTCTGGGCTTGCAGTTGCTAACACGTAGGATGTTCTCTGAGCTGAATGGATGTTAACTTTATCCATACGATTGGTCCTGGGTGCTGGTGATAGGGGCCGGGTCACTAAGTACCTCGGCAGAACTGTGAGTGAACCCCCTGTTTTTCTGATGCAACATGCCTCGATTTCGCATCATTTTACCAGTGATTCCAGTAGGATGCCAGTACAGTGTTTCCTAGCCCCCAGCACCCAATATGTTGCTTGATTGTACCCTTCACATGGCTATGTCTCAAAATTATTGACTAAAACATACTAAAACTGGACAGCATTGAATCATTCGATCCACTGGTTCATCATCATCCCATTTTTTGGACCAAACGCACAGATCAATAGGCTCATATCAATAGGGGGTATGGTTCACCACCCAGGATTTTTGAAATCCATTTAGATCCCATTAAAAATCATTAAAAATCATTAAGCATCATTAAAAATTATTAAAAATCATTAAAACTTTGATATCAACCAACCAATTTGTTGGTGATCCATAGCTGCCCTGGGGCCTCACCCGAGGCTGGACGCCTTTGAACCTTCGATCCAAGGGGCTCAGCGGCGCGCCAACGAGCGACAGCTGCGAAACGTTCACTTCTTGCGTGCCTTGCCGATGGGGAGGGAGAACCAGGACAAAATGTCAGAAAATGGATGAACATGGTGATTTATCCAACCATAAATAGAGGTTCAATAGGGATATTTCACGCAGATTCACTAATAATGATCTAACCATCAAACCTGGAGAATGAACCATGCAGCTAAAATGTGGGTTAACCATTGAACACAATGATTTAACCGTTATTTGGGGTAATGGGTGTCCGCATCAACGACGATGGGAGGTCCATGAGACGGGGCAGATCTAACCATGAAACATGGATGATTAACCAGCACAACTATGGATTTGACGATGGGAAGATCATGTGCGGTTTATATTGCTCAAAATCACTGCATACCAACCAAACATTGAACGATTATTGAATGATTATACTGGTGAACCATTTATGTGTATGGTTTACATTGGTAATTTAACCAACCACAATGGGTGTCTACAACCATCCATAGTTCGAGCCGAGGGGCTTGCCACCAGCGTTCAGGTGGCGATGCCTCTGCCTTTGCACGGCCGGAGTTGATGAATCGCTTCGATTTGGTGAGCCAAGGGGTGGAGTTGGGTGATGGATGCTGGATGATTTGTTGGATTTGAGGCTGGTATTTTTTTAAATGCATTTTTAGCAAGCACCACAAAGATAGAGTATGGATGAATATGAAACATCCTACGAAATTATTCAACTTTTTAAAAATAGTGGTAAAGTACTCGTTGGTAGTACGGGGTCGACTTCACAGTATACTCCATGATTTGAACAGGAATGATCACCAGCCCCAATGGAGAAATGTCATGTTCAAAAGCCTGATCTTTTTTGGGAATCCTTGTCTGAACCAACGAGTATCAGGATATGACAGCAGTGGTTTCAGGCTCTGCTCATGTTGCTCCTGCAACTTTGCTCCAACATGTTCAGGATGTGAAATGCAGGGTATCCGGGTCAAACAACCTATACATTGACATACGTTACACTACATACAATACAGTCCAAGTCAGTACATATTTTGCAGTACATGCAGACAATATTGTTGATTCCAAGTATTCTAGTACTCATAGATGTCACTTTGAAGATCTGGTATGATACCATACACAATATTGCATAATACTACATCATAGAGGTAATATTACACTTGTTATGTACTAATACTGTAGACTATAGTGATATAGACATATATATCATATAACAATATGAAATTTGAAAAAATGTAATGCACTGTATGCAATTCCAATAGTAGTATAGCAGTAGTACAGGACACATCCCCGCAGAGCTGCGCGGTCAGGTCACCAGCTTTGATGTGATCCACGACCTCACCAGGTGCAGCTATATGCGGCATGAGGGCTGTTGGATCCTTTGAGTCATATGAGTTATATGATATCATATGATATCATATGATATGACATATGATAGGACATATGATATGACATATGATAATTATGACATATGATATGACATATGATAGGACATATGATATGACATATGATAATTATGACATATGATATGACATATGATATGACATATGATAGGACATATGATATGACATATGATAATTATGACATATGATATGACATATGATATGACATATGAAAGGACATATGATATGACATATGATAATTATGACATATGATATTGCACAATAATCATGATATTTGATACTCAATTGATGTACATGGGTCTGAAATGACATGTGTTTGTCCAGGCCCGACGCCACGCTGCAAGAGATCCGGAAGGTCCTGAAGGCGGTTTTTGGGGAGATGGATTCATAGCCTTTTAGCATCCATGAAGGGTATACGAATGGATACATTTATAATGGAGCATCCCATCCGAAATTATTCCGATGTGGATGTTACATCTAGGAATAATTTTCCAGAATAATTTCCTTGGGAATAATTTTTAGGCACTATGGGCAAAGTGTAGGTGGCAAGACATTGGAATAATTTTGGTTAAAAGAGACAACATGATGTGGATAGACATTGGAATAATTTTGGTTACCGATGTGGACAGACATTGGAATAATTTTGGTTAACAATGTGGATAGACATTGGAATAATTTTGGTCAAAAGAAACAACAAGATGTGGATAGACATTGGAATACTTTTGATATGTAGCCTTTCAAAATGCGTGAAATTATGTGTTATAACATATCATCAAACGGTTCAAATGTTGGAACGAACTATATAGGTTTAATCTGTGATGTATCTTGCATAATGTGTAAATAACTAAATCTTCTTTTTCTAGCTTGACCAAGAAAGATCGAGAAACTTTAAAACCTAATTTAACAAGTGACCTGAGGAACCGTTTCTTGACGCCAAGAAACCAATCTCAAGGTCACTTGTAAAAATTGGGTTTGAAAATTTGAAATCCTCTTGACTTTTGCTGGCAAAATGACTGAAGTCGTTTTGAGGGATTTTGCATGAGTAATAAAGTGAAAATGCATTGATCACCAACCTTCTTCCCCCAAAATTCTATCTCCGAAACCACCCGTATCCTCACCTGCACGCGTGTAAATATATTCTTGCTGTCAACATATGTTTGGCACCCCTGTTGTATATAGGTTTAACCTGTAACTTAGATAGCTTGTGACTAGCCACATATTTTTCTGGGCTCAAGGAATGTCAAGGAATGTCAAGGAATACAGGATGTTGTGTTGATGTATTGTCAATGATTTTCAATTCAGCATGCAGTGATCCTCAGCCCTTTCCCACCAATATTCTACCTCCGAAACCACCCGCATCCTCCACCTGCGGGCGTCAAGATTACTCCTGGTGTCAACATACCCCTAGGACCCGTGCTTTATAGAGGTGTAGCCTGTAAAGTAGCTTGCGCAGTCTGCACATAGCATTTGTGTATGTCTGGCCTCAAGGAATATCAAGCAATCAAAGAGATCATTCTGATGCATTTTGAGCTTCAGTCGTGAATGCAATTAATGATCACCAACCCTCTTCCACCAATCCATATCCGACAGCGCCCGCATCCTCCAACTGCGGGCGTCGAAATATATTCCTGGTGTCAACGCATGTCTGGCACCCCTGTTTTGTATAAGTTTAAACCTGTAGCTTACATAGTCTGTGACTAGCTACGGCTTCTTTTTTTGGAAGTCAAGGAATGAAGGATGTCGTTCTGATGCGTTTTGAATGAATTTCAAGTCAACTTACAATGATCATAAGCCCTCTTCCACCAATATTCTACCTCCGAAACCACCGGCGTCCTCCACCTGCACGCGTCAAAATTATTCCTTGTGTCAGGACATGTCTGGCACCCCTGTTTGTTTAGGCTTGAATACGCTCTGCAACTCTTTCCAGAATTAGAGGTACCAAGGACCCCGGGTTCCGGACATGATAATTTAGACGCGTATAGGTGGAGGATGCTGATTGCTTCGAAGATCGAATATTGGTGGAAAAAGGGTGATGACCAATTGATTTCTATTGATTTTCATTTCCTTACTCGTTCAAATTTATGCAAAAGTATTTTGCATTACGTTCCCTGTTGAATCTGCATCAAAGAAGGTTAAACGATGTTAAACACACGTCTCGAAACTTTTCTGCACATCCTGTAAGCCAGAAAAATGGAGGGGCTTTAGCTAGTTGCAGACAGAGCAGGCCACTTTGCAGGTTAAACCTCTACAGCACAGGGGTGCCAGACATGTGTTGACACCAGGAATAATTTTGACGCGTGCAGGTGGTGGAGGATGCTGGTGGTTTCGGAAGTAGAATATTGATGCCTTTGCAGGTTAACCCTCTACAAAATACGGGTGGCAGCCATGTGTTGACACCAGGAATAATTTAGATGCGTGCAGGTGGAGGATGCTGATGGTTTTGGAGATCGAATATTGATGGAAAAGGGTTGGAGATCAATTCATTTTTATTTCATAACTCGTTCAAACTTATGGAAAAGCATCTTACATTACTTTCCCTGGTGAATTCTGCATCAAAGAATGTTAAACGATGTTAAACACACGTCTCGATACCTTTCTGCACATACTGTAAACAAGAAAAAAGGATGGTCTTTTCTTTAGCTAGTTACAGACAGAGCAGGCCACTTTGCAGGTTAAACCTCTACAGCACAGGGGTGCCAGACATGTGTTGACACCAGGAATAATTTTGACGCGTCCAGGTGGAGGAGGATGCTGGTGGTTTCGGAAGTAGAATATTGATGCCTTTGCAGGTTAACCCTCTACAAAATACGGGTGGCAGACATGTGTTGACACCAGGAATAATTTAGATGCGTGCAGGTGGAGGATGCTGATGGTTTTTGGAGATCGAATATTGGTGGAAAAGGGTTGGAGATCAATTCATTCTTATTTCATAACTCGTTCAAACTTATGGAAAAGTATCTTACATTACTTTCCCTGTTGAATTCTGCATCAAAGAATGTTAAACGATGTTAAACACACGTCTCGAAACCTTTCTGCACATACTGTAAACAAGAAAAAAGGATGGTCTTTAGTCTTTAGCTAGTTACAGACAGAGCAGGCCACTTTGCAGGTTAGACCTCTACAGCACAGGGGTGCCAGACATGTGTTGACACCAGGAATAATTTTGACGCGTGCAGGTGGAGGAGGATGCTGGTGGTTTCGGAAGTCGAATATTGATGGACAAGGCTTGATGATCAGCCCATTTTCAGCTCATTGCTCTTTGCCATGTGTGGAAAAGCATCTTGCATTACTTTCCCTGTGTGCTTCTGCATTCAACAATGTTGGATGCATAGCTCGAGACCTTTCTGCAGATCTTTTCGGCGGTAGATTCTGGGTGGAAGAGGGCTGATGATCATTGCATTGTCGTTTGAAAATCGGTGAAAAAACGTGAGCAAACATCTTGGGCTGTTGAATTCCGCGTTAAACAGTGTTAAGCAATGTTAAACACATGGCTCGAGACCTTTTTGCACATCCTTGAAACCAGGCAGAGAGGGCTTGAGCAATTTACAAACTGCGCAAGCGACTCTGCAGGCTACACCTCTGTAAAGCACGGGTCCTAGAGGTATGTTGACACCAGGAGTAATCTTGACACCCGCAGGTGGAGGATGCGGGTGGTTTCGGAGGTAGAATATTGGTGGGAAAGGGCTGAGGATCACTGCATGTTGAATTGAAAATCATTGACAGTACATCAACACAACATCCTGTATTCCTTGACATTCCTTGAGCCCAGAAAAATATGTTACAGGTTAAACCTATATACAACAGGGGTGCCAAACATATGTTGACAGCAAGAATATATTTACACGCGTGCAGGTGAGGATACGGGTGGTTTCGGAGATAGAATTTTGAGGGAAGAAGGTTGGTGATCAATGCATTTTCGCTTTCTTACTCATGCAAAATCCCTCAAAACGACTTCCGTCATTTTGCCAGCAAAAGTCAAGAGGATTTCAAATTTTCAAACCCAATTTTTACAAGTGACCTTGAGATTGGTTTCTTGGCGTCAAGAAACGGTTCCTCAGGTCACTTGCTAAATTAGGTTTTAAAGTTTCTCGATCTTTCTTGGTCAAGCTAGAAATAGAAGTTGTAGGATTGTACAAGATACATCACGGGTTCAAGTTACAAAAGACAAGATGCCGTTCAGAAATTCGCAATAGGACAAAATGACGCGAGAACGAGTGGGGCACCAGGTGGCCTAACAATTAGATACAACTTTTGGAACTGGTTCAGATTTTTTTCGCGAAACGGAGCCTGAGACTGCGACAAACATTTTGCATTCCAACTGATCACACAAGATTCGAATGTTTAGATGGTTTTTGGGTCGAATGTTTACATGGTTTTTAGATCATACTTGAACAAACCTGGAGATGAAATCTGCATTTTAAAAAACCAAATTATTCTGGATGTGGATCACCTCAGAATAATAATGGCTCCAGTGTAGGTCATAGACACTGGGATAATAAAAAAATTATTCCAGTGTGACACCCACATGCCCACACCAGAAGGCATGGTCCATCATTTATATATATATACCCTCTGGTTATTTAACATAGCCATGGAAAATCCCTTATAAATGGAGGTTTTAATGGGAAAATAATCTATAAATGGGCCATTTTCCATGGCTATGTTAAATAACCAGATGGTATATATATATATATACACGTATATACACACACACAAACACGCAATGATGTATAATGTTAGGCTCTGATTAGTGTGGCCCCCCCCTCAATTTTAGGCCACTCAATGACTCGGCATTTTCTGTGCCCCCCCCCTCATTAAAAAAATGGGTATGCAAACAGGTAGAAATCCATCGGACGTAGGACATTTGTTAACGATCAACAGGCGATGTTTTGGATGATCCCCCAAGAAGCCTGGATACTGTAGTGGGGGTTGCTGTGTATATATATGTATAATATCGTGCGCAGGGGAAAATAGTTTCTCTGATGCTGGTGGTGACTATGGCCCAAGGTATATTGACAGTACCTGCAGAAACTGATGATGTTTTTGGGCAAATGCAGGTCTTTTGCACCATACCTGGTTGATTGGGGATATGTATCATATCCAGCCGCCTTGCTTGGGAATTGCAGTGAGCCCTGAAGTGACGGCTTCAAATTGGGTGCTGAAATCTGTGGACTTGAGGGTCTTTCAATTCCCTCTGTATTCCCTCTGTTAATTTAACATAGCTATGGAAAATCACAATTTTTTCAAGGGGAAATCAGCTATAAATATTGAGAATGTGCCATTTTCCATAGCTAAACTGAATTACCGAAGGTACCCAACATGTTTTTGTGCCATTTCCACGACGCTCTAGGCAGATGGTATCTTCGTGATGGTGGACATTCGGGCAGAGACAGGCCGGCGCCACGCCGGATAACACACGTTTGCATGTATAACTGTATAATATGAAAAACAATTTGTGTATATCATGAACTATCATATTGTATTATGATATTATGTGTATATAATATAATTATATATGATGTGCTCCCAAAATTATACAACCTTCACAAACCATCCATGTAGTTTGTCCTATATTTAATGCTTGCTGTACCAGGGTAGACCTCACGGGGGTGGTCCCGCAGGTGTTGCGAAAAACTTGGGGCACCCCATGGCGCCTTTCCTCTACACCGTCTCTTTGCAACTCGCCGCGGAAGTCCATGTGAGTCACGTGTCGGTGTTCCCGTAACCTGGTGGAGATTTGTAGAAGTTCTAAACATGATTCGGGCACTGGAAACATTACATGGTTCATACACAACCGCAAAGCTGATTCTTTGATTTCATGGTTTGGACTCTTATGACAAAAGGTGAATCACAAGGTGAAAACAAATGATACCATGAGAATATTGAACCTGTTTTCACAGATTCTGTCAGGGTCAGATACTCTGATACATTATATGAATATAAAGTGATTAACCCAGCAATGGATTTCTCATTTCGGGACGGTTTACACCACCCATTTCTGGTTCAATTGTGAGTGGTTTCTTAAACATGTCCTCTTGCAGTCCTTGCGAGCTAAGGATGCACTGCATGCCGCAGGGGATGAACGATGGGGGTCCTGGTCTTGGACTCCCGGATGCATTGAAAACATTTGAAAACCATTTTGCAAACGGCTGCAAGGCGATATGAAAGACAGTGCATTTGGAAGCTATATTATATGGCCACATGAGGCCATATGAATCTATATGACTTTCTGAAAGGACTCCTGTATTGCATTCCAGTTCTGCACTTCCTTCTCTATAGGTTGCTCCAGCCAGTGATTTGTTTGCCAGCTTGGTGTCCAGTGGCCTTAACCTCAAAGACATGAGGTGCAACCTGTAGCAGCTCAGGAATGATGTGGGGTCGGCAGAAAGCACTTTCTATGCTGCAAGAAGCAGGCTTTGAAGTCGAGGCAGGGCCTGCTGGGGGCTTAAGCATAGGGATGTTTAACCAACAATGAATGGTTTGAAGAAACATAAATTGGGTGATGCTACCAAGCGAAGAGGAGATGTTCACAATAGGACAATGATTGGTATGGTGCAAACATGGAGTGACCGCGTTGATGTTTCAGGGCTCTGGAGCGCCTCAACCAACTGAAATTGGGATACAACTAAACATCAAATGGATTCAAATAGCACAATCAGAACCAGGACAGACGCCCACAGTTAGTTCGAGAGGGCACAGAAATAGGTGGGTCATAGTAGGTGAAATTCAGCATCCCCCCTCAAAAAACAGTGTTTCTTTAAGTGTGTATGTGTTTTTGTTGTACTCATGAGCATAATATATATATATATATATACATATAATTATATATATAATACACAATACATGTACATGGAGCCAATGTTAAACCATTCAAACAAATGGTACGCCATGTTGACACAGTACCACCATACTATACTGCGGGTAATGTCTCTTCAGCCAAGATGGCCAGGAAAAGCAGCGCATTGATCCTAGATGTCGAGACTGTGCTGTGTCCTGCTGAGGTAGTGGAAATGGAGTTTGACACCTTTAACGATTGCTATGTGTGCCGCCCCCGCGCGTAGGCAGGGAGATTGAGTTTCCTGTGAAACCTCGAAGAGAAAAACTTCACGAAACAAACACAGTCTTTGAAGATGTCTCATTAAACCAACAAGACCACAGCATAAATGAATTGTATATTTCGTTTGTTCTTCAAGTTGGTGCGTGATCTTTGTTTTTTCAGGCTTTGCTACCTCAAGTAACCAAATTAAACAGCATCAAGTTCCATCTTCCGTAGGAAATCTGATCTGTTTGGTGAAGGAGATCTGGCGAAGCACGGCGAAGCAAAGTCTTCGATCCGGGAAAAGACGCGCCGGTTTTGGAAATGGCCATGCCTGGACTGCTTCCAGTGTGTGGCTACATATATTCAGAAGGGGATTGTTTGGACAAGAACCTGTATTTATTTAAGATGATTGATATGATATACAATATACTGTTGCAATAAAAGTAAGTATATATATATATTAATATGTGTGTATTATATATATAAATATATAGTTATAGAGATAATCATCAAATAAGTACATGAATATCAACCTATACATCTATATACTATCATCTACTTCAATATTTGGAAGTTCCAGTGTTCCCCTTGCACTCCCGGCACCGAACAGCATGGCACCGAGGACCATCTGCAGAGGCCCTGCGCGCCGTGCAGGAAGAGGCCGGGCATGGTTTTTGTTTGTTACCAGCGTATAACACCACTTCAAATAAATAAGTACCCGTTTTCCATCTTTTTTTTTGTGAACCAAACAATGTCCTACGATTTTGTTGGTTAAATCAAATTCAAATCAAATTTTGCTGCTTAAAGTTATGACTTTTTTCCATGGCCACCCACCACCACCAGCACCACCAGCACCGCGCCAGGTCCGCCACGGCTACGCCTTGCGGCCGGACGTGCACGCGCTGGTGGAGGCGTTGTTGCGCGGCGGTGTTGAGGTGCCAGAGGGGAGGGTGGAGTCCATTGGGTATGGGTCAATACCTATAGATACCATTTTTAGTGGGATGAACATCCATTTACCAGCTATTTTGGGGTTCACTAGGTACCAGGGTTTTGACCCATTCCCCATTGAGCAGCGTTCATTTTTTCAAAGCCCCTGTGCCGTTGATTATTATTGAATATGGTTGATAAATGTTGATAATATGGAATGACAATGAATGATACGGTCCAAGATTTGGCGGACTGTTGCGAACCATGGATTGACTTTTCGACCATCCAAGGGATTGAGTTTTTGACCATCCAGTACAAGTAGATAGACGATAGAAGGCTTTAAACATTGCTCAAATTGCCACTGGTCATGTTGCCATATCTTCATTGTATCATATTGTATCAATAAGCATGTTGGGTTTACATTTGACATATGTTTGAAGCAGGTCACTTGGAACCATGCAGTGTTTTGGTAACCGTCTAGGTTGTGTCAACCCAGATCGTGCGTGCAACAATTCTGCACAACGTGACAACGTATACCCCAGAATGATGAAGGGGACCAACAATGGGGAAATGATGGGAATTGTGCACCACCAAAGAGATTAAATGCATCTATATAAATGTGGATATATGATATATATATATAGAGTGACGGACTCACACTTAGGACATAATTTGGAAGAAAAACAAGATTCATGCCGCAAGCGATTCTCACACTTAGATCATCCCCGAATCTCACACTTAGAACCTCCAGTTTGATACTGAATCACACGGTGCCCTGCAGAGGCCTCACACTTAGAACGTCCTGTAGACATAATCATATATTTTGTATTGAAAACCAGATGTTAGCTCGAAGATTTGACTGTTCTTCACAACTGGTTGAATGCCAGTGGTATCATACCCTGGGGAAGCTTCACACTTAGAACATCACAAAACACATTGAAAAACATATGAGGCACGGTCAAAACTCTGGTATACTACTTATGTAAGGAGAGTTCTCTGGTGTCTGGAAAATACACAAAACACTGTGTAGTGATAGGGCCCCTCCAAAAGCGATACCTATAATTGTGCATAATGTCCACATCTGAAGTTGTTTTGCACAAAGTTACGTACATGCAAGAGGCTAAATTAGGGATACCTCTAGCGATACCTTAGCGATACCCATTTGTTCAAAAAGTAACCCCAGACCAGACCACAAATAGATCCTTTCCTTTTTCCTTTCCGCTTTTCCCTTTCTTTGCCGTTACTCCTTTTCTTTTCTCTTCCTTTCCTCTTCCCTTCCTTTCTTTTCCTTTTCCATTTCTTTTCCATTCCTTTTCCTTTCCTCTTTATTTCCTTTCCTGTTCTTCTCCTCCTCCTTTCTCTTTCTTTTCCTCTTCCCAATGCTTTTCCTTTCCTCTTCCCAATCCTTTTCCATTCCTCTTCCCAATCCTTTTCCTTTTCTCTTCCTTTCCTTTTCCTCTTCCTTTCCTTTTCTTTTCCTCTTCCCAATCATTTTCCTTTCCTTTCCCTTTTCCTTCTGCTTTTCCTTTTCCCTTTCCTTTTCCTTTTCCTTTCTTCTTCCGTCCTTCTTCCTTGCCTCTTTTTGCAATACCATGGCTAGCGATAGGCCCCCTCCAAAAGCGACACCCAATTTTCGGGAACCAAGCGAAGACAATAAGTTTTGACAAGGCCTCATAAATGCTAGCATTCTGCTGTTGAGACCCCGCACTTGGAACATCCCATATTGAGTTGCCCTTGAATATTGATTCAACTGCTCTTTAGTACATGGGGATTTCAAATTTGCTTCTGGTTGAGTTCACATCTCAAAGATTTCTGAATCAAATCAGTAGATTACCCGTTCCACATTGGATTCAAAAGTCGGCTGACAGTTGTATATACAAAAAAATATACATGCTAGCATTATGCTGTGGAGACCCCACGCTTAGAACATCCCATATTGAACCGCGCTTGAATTTTGATTCAGCTACGCTTTAGTGTTTATGTACATGGGGGTCCAAATGTGCTCCGAGTTAAGTTCACATCTCAAAGCTTTCTGAATCAAATCAGTGGATTACCCTTTCCACATTGGATCCAAAAGTCGGCTGACAGTTGTATATATATTCTTTTTATATGCTAGCATTCTGCTGTGGAGACCTCACTCTGAGAACATTCCATATTGAATTGCGTTTGAATGTTGATTCAACTACGCTTTAGTGTTGATGCTTCGATTACCCGTCTTACATTGGGTTGAAAATTCGGCTGACAGTTTACATATATATATATATGTATATATATATATTCATACATGCTAGCATTCTGCTGTGAGACCCCACACTTAGAACATCCAATATTGAACTGCGCTTGAATATTGATTCAACTACGCTTTAGTGTTGATGCACATGGGATTTCCACATGTGCTTCGAGTTAAGTTCACATCTCCAAGATTTTTGACTCAAATCATTAGATTACCCGTTCCACATTGGATTCAAACTTCGGCTGATAGATAGATAGATAGAGAGAGAGATATATATATATTTGATATGCTAGCATTCTGCTGTGGAGACCCCACGCCTAGAACATCCCATATTGAACTGCGCTTGATGAATATTGATTCAACTACGCTTTCGTGTTGATGGACATGGGGATTTCAAATGTGCTTCGGGTTAAGTTCACATCTCAAAGATTCTGAATCAAATCAGTAGATTACCCGTTCCACATTTTATTCAAAATTCGGCTGACGGTTTGATATATTTTTATATGCTAGCATTATGCTGTGGAGACCCCACGCTTAGAACATCCAATATTGAATTGCGCTTGAATATTGATTCAACTACGCTTTAGTGTTGATGTACATGGGGATTCCAAATGTGCTTCGGGTTCAGTTCACATCTCAAAGCTTTCTGTACCAAATCAGTAGATTACCCGTTCCACATTGGATTTCAAAATTGGGCTGACAGTTTGATACATATATATATATAAATAATATATATGCTAGCATTCTGCTGTGGAGACCCCACGCTGAGAACATCCAATATTGAATTGCGCTTGAATATTGATGCAACTTCGCTTTAGTGTTGATGTGCATGGTGATTCCACATGTACCTCGGGTTAAGCTCACATTTCAAAGATTTCTGAATCAAATCAGTGGATTAACCTGTTCCACATTGGATTAAAAAGTCGGCTGACAGTTATATATATATATATGTGCTAGCATTCTGCTGTTGAGACCCCACACTTAGAACATCCCATATTGAACCGCGCTTGAACATTGATTCAACTACGCTTTAGTGTTTATGTACATGGGGATTTCAAATTTGCTTCTGGTTGAGTTCACATCTCAAAGATTTCTGAATCAAATCAGTAGATTACCCGTTCCACATTGGATTCAAAAGTCGGCTGACAGTTGTATATATAAAAAAATATACATGCTAGCATTATGCTGTGGAGACCCCACGCTTAGAACATCCCATATTGAACCGCGCTTGAATTTTGATTCAGCTACGCTTTAGTGTTTATGTACATGGGAATTCCAAATGTGCTTCGAGTTAAGTTCGCATCTCCAAGATTTTTGACTCAAATCATTAGATTACCCGTCCCACATTGGATTCAAACTTCGGTTGACAGTTCAATATATATATATTTATATTTATTTATTTACATGCTAGCACTATGCTGTGGAGACTCCACACTTAGAACATCCCATATTGAACTACGCATGAATATTGATTCAGCTACGCTTTGGTGTTGATGTGCATGGGGATTCCAAATGTGCTTTGGGTTAAGTTCTCATCTCAAAGATTTCTGAATCAAATGAGTAGATTACCCGCTCCACATTGGATTCAAAATTCGGCTGACCGTTGTATATTCTAGCATTCTGCTGTGGAGACCCCACACTTAGAACATCCCAAATGCTTACCTACATCATCCCAACATTTGACGGCATCTACTTCGTTGCCATTGTCGATAGATCTGCAGGAAGTGTACTTTATTCTCAGGCCCTGAAGCAAGGCTTCGGCTGCAGTCAAAAATCAAAATCAAAAAAAACATAAATAAAAAACATATATATATATACACGTATTTTTCTTAATTATTTATATGTATATAAATTTCATGCAG